ATATATGTGTAGGTTTTTCAAATAGTGTATTTGTTTATCAGTTTCTAGTACAACTACCTATATTATTCGATTGTGAAGTTCGTGTGGATAATAGGTAATTTTATGTGTTTGTTGAAAATAAAAACAGTAAGATTTCGAAAGAAAATGTCCTTTATCGGACTAGATTCCGGTAATGACCATAGGCGGAGGTGTACTCGAGTTACGAGAATTGACTATATTGACCCGAGTAAAAGGTAGGTAATGTAAATATGTACTATATAATGGATCTTTTATTTGATTTTCTTGTTTATTGTTTGATAATTCTTAAAAATATCAACTTAGACTTCGGGTTGTACTGATTTACATATTAATTTATTATTAATAACTATGTAATGTAATAAACTAAAAACCGCATAGACTCGGCTCGGCCACAGCCGGCCGCGCTTGTTATTGTTTGGTTTGTTGACATAATGTAGGTACCTACGCTCTTAAATTCGTAATATGTAGGTATATTATGATTTTGAACAGATTGATTATAATTTGGCGAAAGAATAAACCACAATATTCTTGAACGCACTTTTCGAAGAAATGTAATTTGTACATGTACCTGTCTTGTGTGTGCATGATTGTATGACCGGCGGGGGGGGGGGGGGGGGGTTTGATCATACGATATTTTGATATGTTGCCTACCCTGTCTCGAAAACCTGTGCACGCCACTGCTAAACCGATTGCTTTCAAATTTTGCAGACGTAAAGTTAGAAGTCTGGATTAAATAATAGGGTACTTTATATCCCGGAAAATTTGATATTCTCGAGAGAAAATGAAATTATTGGTATAGATGGCGCTGTGTGTATTGGTATATATCACATAGACTACTTTTTATCCTTTTGTGACGCGAGCGAAGCCGCTGGTAAAAGCTAGTAAATAAATAAATCCTACTAATGTTATAAATGCGAAAGTTTGTATGTTTGTCTGTATGTTATTTCTTCATGTCAAAACGGGTGAAGGCATCGATATAAAATTTGTAACAGAGATAGATTATGGTCTAAAACAAGGCTTCTTTTTAGTAGTTAATAAAAATCAGAAAAGCCCTAACTCATCTCCTATTAATAAATACGTACCAGACTACGGATACAACAAAACAAAATCCGTTTAAAGATAGTGTTAAGCTGTTACAAACGTCAGTCTAATCTCAACGTTATCACGTAACCATCGTTCGATTATTATGATACCTGCCAATAATTAGATTAGAAGTGAAAGAACGTTATCGGCATGCTTTCACATTATCGCGTCCAATCAATGGTATTAAATTAACAAATGACATTTGATCCTAATCGCAAAACAAACGAATTGTTTATTAGTGGCCGCCGGCGCAGTTGCCATATGCAGTATGACGAGATGATTACGAGACTGGATTATAATACTTTACTGTGTGTGACACGCATGAACGCATCGAATAATTGACTCGATAAATGGAAAATCGAAAGCGTGAGTGGGGACTGAAAATGTAGCATATCTTTCATATTTTATTCATTTCATGCCCAAGAAAATCTCCGAAACCGTATTAACATAGCCTAGGATTCGAACCTTCTGTTTCATACGCTAGCGGCTAGACACACGAGACGGTCATGCACCTATGACTTTTATGACTTTACAAGAAGTAATCTAACTGTATTTTACCTGAAACTAAATTACACATAAGCAAATAAAATATATAGATAGATGCGTTGTTGTCCGCCGCACCTTTTATTATTTATTCGAAAAACTTGATTATTTTTTTATCGTTTCAATGTTAAGTATACATAGGTAGGTCAAGAATTTTATTAAAATTAAATAAACAAACTAATAAAGATCTTGCAAATGCCGGACATGTAACTAATAGAACAAGTTTTTCATATTAACAATGTACGTGAACAATACAGGGGAATAAATTATAGTAGTTAGTTAGAAGCATAAAAATTCTATCGATGTACCTATAAAAGCATCGAATGTGAGCGATACCTCTGCCACGCCTGCGTGGGATTACGGGTCGTGTCCATGAATATACCCACATGCCGTTTAAGTAGTGAAAACTAGTGGACTTGTATGGAATGATAGGTACACGACATTCTCAGACGTCAGAGACTCGGCTCCTGGGAGTGTTATTTGTTATACCTACACACCTAATTCAGCTAATTTAATTTAATAGAATACCTAAAATATATGCGCTAAAATATATCTATGAATAGGTTTAACTGATAAGGTAAGAAGTATCAATTAATTTGTTTATGTTAACACTGTTGAAATTGTAATTCTACACACGTGTTGCGAGCTGATCGTTGTGGTAAACGGCGACACCAATGATGATCATTGTCAGCCTTCGACACCACACGACTCAATGAGCTCGTTATAATGACTGTTTATCATGTTATTGGTATTTGCGATGTTCCATGCTTTTAGATTCATAAAGGTTTGTATGTATTAAGCAAGGTCATGGTCATCTGTATATCAAAATCCGTCGAGTAGCTTTTGCGTAAAAAGTGTACAAAACATGTTAGCAAAATTTTTAGAATATTTATTTTTAAGTAGTGAGTAAGATGTAACCATATGGTCGTAGAATCATCTCAGGTCGATCACAAAAGCGTATCTTAGTCACGTAATTTAACTTCAATAAAAAATAAGTACCAGTAACATTGTTCATACATTTTTCACTTAAGTATATAATTGTTTAATTACTTATTTGTCTACAAGTACATACATACTAACATATCTATCTGCAAAACAAACAGAGAATTAACAGACAGACTCATAGATATGTTTAAATGGCCTTGGTATAATTTGAGAGTGAATTAAACTCTATCATCAGTTGTTGTCCGTGTGACCCAATGTCATGGAAGTACTGTGGACTGGGGCTGCAGTGTCTTCGCATTTAATAGAGACTTATTAGTACATTCAATTCCAATGTATGATGTCATTTGGCGAAAAGTAAATTAACATGTTCTATTGTAGTACAAATTGTTGTATACTTGGTCATAAAATAACAAGTAGCAAAAGGAGGTGGAGCAATGTACAACAGAGTAACATGAATCACTATATAGATGAGTATCATTGATTTGTTTACTTAATACACATCCATGTTCTGATGTAATGTAGAACTGGCAGTACAAAAAACATAGGTGCAGCCACATATCAATGAGAATGAGAACTTTTGATATTATCAATGTATCTTCAATATTCAAATGCTAAAACGACCATTATCCCTTCAATATAAAAATTAATCCCTTCCTCACTTGGTCACTGCTTCACCTGTGAATGGCTGGACCGATTTCACTAATTCTTTTTTGTTGCATTTATTATTATTAGGAGAAGGTTCTTAAGACTGAAGAAATCCTGAAAATCGTACGGGGAACGGGAGAAAACGGGATTGCGCGTACGAAGTCGCAGGTAGAAGCTAGTAATATTATATAAAGCTAAAGAGTTTGTTTGTTTGAACATGCTAATCTCAGGAACTACTAATCTGATTTGAATAATTATTTTTGTATTAAATAGCTTATTTATCGAGGAAGGCTATAGGCTATAAAACATTACGCTACAATCAATAGGCGCAGAGAAGAGCGGGTGAAACCACAGCAGAGTAGCTAGTGATTAATAAATCCTATCACTGCATATGACACATGAGGTTATCAATCAATAACATGTTTAAACTAAGGTATTAGAAGGACTTATTGGAGCTTGATAATCTTATTAAGTTTGTAGCACACGGCATTTAAAGGTTTCCCACCAGGGCAAACGGCATCAACTTGCCAAAAATGGTTCACAAATAACTTAAGGTCAATAAAAACAAGTTATTATGTATATTAAACTGTAAACACATGAAATATTTTGGTTGTGGTGGAGTAATTAATGTTATGCAGGTAGACAATAAAATTATGATCAGTAGGCAAATGAACTGAATAATTAGGTGTAAACATGGTCACCTTGACACAATGAAGAGTAGTAGTGGGTAATTCTATTAGATGCTTGTTACATTATCTGTTGCAGCTGGTATAAAAATACTAAATGCAGTAAAAATTTCCTGTTCTCCAAGGTAATTTGGAAGAGGTTTTATTTACTATCTTTTTGTCATTGATGTAGGAAGTAACTCTAAACTAAAGTACAGTATTTTACCATTAAATATTAAATAACAGAAAAACTGTACAAAGACCAGTATTACCTAACTAAAATTACTATTCTGGGTAATATTAAATGTATTTTTCCAATCAACAAATTTAAAAACAATAAACTTATGAATTAACACCTCAGGATCTAATGCCCAATCAATAATTATAATAAACATGATAAAATATATTAATAAAACATGTAAATATTAATGACACTGAATGGTTGAATAATTATGGAATTGTCAGTGATGAATAAAAAATCAAAACATCAGTATGTTGTAAACTTACACCTCCACTACTATCAATCAATAACAAGCTGTTTGTGAATCATATCCTCATCACTTTTAGAAGAAAAAATAGCAACATAATTATGCTTGAAAATTCTTTATTTGAATGTAAATTGTATGCACTCATTGGAATGCATACATTTTTATTTTTATTCTGTGTTGGAGTGAATCATGCCAGACTGATTACTAGAGCATTGTTTTTGGGTGTTTACTACCATATTACCCTTATTACTCACCATTATTTTTAATATTAGACTTCTAAAATAATGACTCACCATCGTAAGGTAATAGTCTCATTAAATCTAATTAGCCTTTCATTAAAAATAATATTCAACTTAGAGGAATTTTGAGAAAACAGACTTATAGAGTCCCAGATGGTCCACCTGATTATGGGATGAAACCACCATAAAATTTTGACTATTGTAAATGTACATTTATTTACATTTTTAATTCCATATATTAATGATTTTACTCTAAGATTTCCTCATTTTCTACGACAAAAAAGCTGGTGAACAATAAAGTTAAAAGTAGGTACTTATGTATAGATGACATGTATGATAAATATACGAGAAGAAATAAAAATTTAATATCTTACTTCACCACTCCGAGCCGCAGGGGAATTTTCTTCGATCTCGTATATAATATGTGGCAAACCGGCTTCGCCAAGCAAAGAGAATCCGAATCCCAAATTGTCACTACGATTCAGAACCACTAGTCTTTCGTCAGCCATATTCAGTGTACAGCAGCATTGATTAGTATCCACCGAAGGATTTCACAAGTAGCACTTAAAAAAACTACATGAGGGACTATTTAAAATGGATATTATTCTATTTAACGAAAAATATTCATAAATTACAACACACGATAAAAAGAAGCGCACCCAACCAAAGCGAAGACAGGTACAGATTCGTAATTATTTTGAAGTTTGATTTGTTGAGGTTACATTCTCTCCGTCTCACTGACTTCCACTACCTAGGCTTTTTGCCTTACTCGCAAGATGAATGGTGCATCTTTATTTGAAATAAATAACAGTTTAAGATTATTTTATTGGTATTGGTAATAATTCTTGGTAAAATTGGGGGCTTGACTTAAGACTTTATGAGCAGAAATTTATTTAAATCTTTTTAAACATGGAAACTCACAGAAAAACTATATTTGTGTTGTTTCCAAAAAAGTAGGCCGTGTTGGTCACTCATTCTCTCTGTTTTTGTCAATATTGTCAATGTCAATGTCAGTTCAGTTCAGTTCAAAGTTTGTAACTGGTACATTTTTCATCGATTCAGTAAATAAAATAATATTATAAATATCGTGAAAGGCTTAAGGGAAAACTATTTCTTTGTTTCCTTTATTTCATCGTAGATATTAATACATAGCCTATTAGAAATAGGGAATGTATAAATTTGTGGAGTAACTGATAAAGTAATGCTTAGTATTTTTTTTTTCAAAATTACCGCTGTTTGCCCTCTAGTGTAAGTTATTATAATATCGAATTGGATACCTATTCGATTTCTAATATTCGAAGAGGAGTGTTAAATAAAACACGAATATTGTTTAATGTAAATAACAACAGCTGAGCTAAAGTGCTAATTATCAAGTCAAGAAGTCTGTCAGTAAGAAAAATATTTATTATCAAATCACTCCGAAGTTCAACATAATCTGTGGCCAGTGTAGTGAGCGAGCCAGTGAGGCTGCTACGATCACGAATATTTTATAAAAGTCTTAAATTAAACTCATCAAAATGTACATCATCTCGAACTTAGTCAAAGTAACGATACCCAACTATTTAGCTGGGTTACCCATTCCTGACTCCATCGGGGGGTGGTTTCGCCTTGGAGGTAAGCATCAGTGAGACCATGTGTAGATCTTATAATATTACGAAGTTCTCTTTATATTTTAAGATAAAAGGGTAATTACTTTTTCTAAAATGTCTTGCTCTAATTACAATAACATTAAAAATGATCAAGATCCAGACCGTACAGAGCTCTCGTGAGGTAACTGGTACATGTTTCTAAAACTACACAGTTACAAATTCTAGTTCATGTAATAATGAACTCTAAGCGCTCGCAATAAAATCCTTTTTTATACATAGTCGAATTAAGGTTGTTTTTGTGGTATTCCTGAACAATTTCAATGACATACTTTCAAATGAAATTATTTGCCTTTACTTTGCAACATGACAGACTAGATAACTTAACATGCAACTTCTATTATTTAATAATTTGTTGGTCATTGACTATAAAATGATCTATTGTCAATTAAATATAGTGATGATAAAAGTATCATGCCATGTTTGATAATTATATGACCTGAGTATTATATTTTTTCCAGTCAAGGATTGGCTTGCTTTAATTCCACCTGTAGTTGTGGTGGGAGGCATTTCCTACTACTCATATGACACCATCAAGAAGGCTCGTGCTGGTAGCAATGGTCAAGTAAACCAGTGTGTTAGAAAGGATCTCAACAAAGTTGTAGATTTTATTGATATTGAAGACATTACTGAGAAGGTGTCCCTGTGCCGCTGTTGGAAAAGCAAAAACGTTAGTATTATTTAGTAAAACATTACCAATATGGTGTATATTGATATAATATTGACTTTTGAAAGGCTAATTGATATAAGCAACATTTTTTATATTGAGTTATACATGTTCGAATAAGTCAGCGAATTTTCCTTCATCATGATGTAGCAATATCACAAAAAATGTTGCTTAGATCAACTTCAAACTGTCAATATATTTATGTATACAAGACCTTTATTGCTCAATTTTTAATGTCATCTCATCTCATCATCACTCCAAAATGTGGGGTAGTTCTATTTCTTGATTGATAATAACCTGTTAATTTTGTCACCATGTTTTAGTCAGGAATTCCCAGAAATCTCTTTTTACAGATTGCAAAAATAATGTTGCTGAATAAGATAATACTGAGTTAGTTTTGTATTTATCTTTTCATACTATTCATTTATCACATTTTCAGTTGACATTTGTGTTATTGTTATCAGATTAGGATTGTGGTCTCATAATCAAAACATACTTATCTTGTTTCATGTGTAGTAAGTAGCCTTTATCTAATTCATTATTACCTTTTTTTTTTTTTTTTTTTTTTTAAATATGTATTGCAATCTATCATATAGATATTCAGCAATATTTTTGTTAAATGCAGCAGACTTGTACGTGGGCTGTCCAGTGACTGCCCCGTTTATATTTACAACCTCCTAGATGAGGTCTTGAGGAATCTTTCTCTTTAGTCTTCTAGCGACTGTTTGGGTGTCCATTAGGTTTACTGCTAGCTTGTTTGGATGGCTTGTGATTCGGTCTTTGTACACTTTAGTCATTTTGGAAATTTCTTCCATTACAGTACTGATGCAGAGGTCGTGGTGAAGTCTGTTATTTGAGACATACCATGGTGCGTTTGTTATCATTCTCAACATTTTTGACTGGAACCTTTGCACAATTTCAATATTTGACTTTGCCGCTGAGCCCCACAGCTGTAGGCCGTATGTCCATGTAGGCTTTATTATGCATTTATATAGCAACAATTTATTTTCCATAGAGAGTTGAGACTTGTTACTCAGTAGCCAATGCATTTTGCGTATCTGTTGACCCATAGCCAGCCGCTTGGTAAATATATGCTTTTTCCAAGTCAGGCGTCTATCCAAATATATTCCGAGGTACTTGGCGTATTCCTCTTGTGGGAGAGGGATGCCGTTTAGGGTCACAGGAGGACACGTTCCTTTCTTGTTTGCGAAAGTCACCTGGACAGACTTAGTTTCATTGGCCTTGATTCGCCAGTCTTTGAGCCATTTCGATATTTGGTCGAGACTAGACTGAAGTTTTTGTGATGCAACGTCTGGTGAAGTGTCCACCGAGAGGATAGCTGTGTCGTCCGCAAATGTTCCAGTGACGACACCTTCTGTTATTGGGAGGTCGGCTGTGAAAAGTAGATATAACATTGGGCCCATTACACTACCCTGTGGTACTCCAGCTTGGACAGTATGTAAGGTAGTTTTCTCTTCATTTTGTTTCACGAAAAAGTGTCTGTCGCTTAGATAGGACTTTATAAGATTGTAGAAATTTATAGGTAGGTTTCGTTTTATTTTGAACAGTAGTCCGTCATGCCAAACACGATCAAATGCTTGAGATATATCTAAGAAGGCTGCAGTACTATACTGTTTTGACTCAAACGCTTTATTGATATGTTCTACTAATCTGTGCACTTGTTCTATTGTACCGTGCCCTCGGCGAAAGCCAAACTGGTGGTCAGGTAAAAGTTTATTCAAAGCAATAATCGGGAGTAATCTGCGCAAAACAAGTATTTCCATAACTTTAGATGGTATGGGCAGCAGACTAATAGGTCTATATGATTGCGCCTCTACAGGGTTTTTACCCGGCTTGGCAACCATTATAACTTGTGCTACTTTCCACTGGGGAGGAACCATACTTCTTCGGAGGATAGCATTAATAAGAAAAGTTAGGAATTGAACGCCTTCCTTTGGTAGTTCTCTTAAAATTCTTCCAGTTATGAGATCGTATCCAGGGGCTTTATTTGGGTCCAGTGCCCTAATCGCTGTTTTTACTTCTTCCTTTGTGACTTTGGTAATAGGAGGATCCAGTTGATGGGTTTGGTTCAATAATTGTGTAACTTCCTGGATTTTAGAAGAGCCCGTATCGGGGTTTGGTGTAAAAACCAGTTTAAGATGCTCAGCGAATGTATCAGCCTTGTCCGCATCACTGGAGGCCCATTCCGAGTTACTCTTACGGATAGGAGGTTGATTAGAGATTGGACGTTTAAGATTTTTAGTGACTTTCCATAAAGAATAGTTGGTTTCTGCTGTTGCGTTCAGGTTCCTTAAGGAGGTTTGGATATTTTCATTATTGTTATTCTGCAATAGTGTTTTTAGTTTTCCTTGTAGATAGTTCAGATGTTTTTTGTCACCAGGATAACCTGTTTTTTGCCATTTTTTTCGAGCCTCTCGTTTTTCAGTTAGTAGTTCTCGAACAGATAAGGGGCATTCTTGTTTGTGCGGCAAGTCTTTAGGAACTGGAGTAGCAAGCCAAGCAGATTGTTGAACAGAGCTATTAAAATGTTCTACTGCTTCTGTTATGTCGTTGTCCGTTATTAGGGCAATTTTTATATTCAAGCTTTCCACCAGTAGCTGTCTAAAGAGGTTCCAGTTAGTTTTATTGGTATGCAGCTTGCATGGCTTAGGTGACACTATGATTTTCTTTTTTAATACTATTTCAACAGGGGAGTGATCAGATGACAATTCGGTACTCGTTCTGCTTGTAAAAAATTTACTAGAAATTCCTTTTGTTATACAAAAGTCGAGCAAGTCTGGTAATTTATTCCTGTCTGTAGGCCAGTAGGTGGGTTCTCCAGATGAAACAACGTTAAGATTTAGCTTTTCTATGGCCATTAGCAGCTGTCTACCTTTCGCAGTTATGACACGTGAGCCCCAGTAATGATGCTTGGCATTGTAGTCTCCTCCAGCTATAAATCTATGTCCCAGTGTGGTAAAGAACGTTTCATAATCATTTAGCTTAAGTTTATGTTTAGGTGGGCTGTAAACAGCGGATACTGTGAATGGGCTTGTCCAATCTTCAATAACGATATTTGTTGCTTGAATCTCCTCCGTGCAATAATGAACTGCTTCATGATGTTTTATATTAGATTTTATTAGTACCGCGCTTCCAGCATGTGCTCTGCCATCGGGGTGCATCGTGTGATATGTTTTGTAGTTGTGAATGTTAAAATGGCTCTTTTTAGTAAAGTGTGTCTCTGTTACTAGAAGAATATCAATTTTTTGTGTGTCTAGGTATGTTCCAACCTCAAGGGTATGTTGTGACAGCCCATTGGCATTCCACACGGCAATTTTTAAGCAATCGAATCTGACAGCTTGGTTGTGAGGGCTATTATTAAGTTTGTCAGGGTAGTCAATTGTTGCATCATTTGTTTCATCAATGTCATTATTTCATGTATGTTGTGTTGGTCGACATGTTTTGTCTCGTTTGTTGTATTTTCGAGTTGATTCTTGTTGGTAAGTACGTCTTTATAAGTTTGATATTCGCTGTTGCGAACTTGTTTATCCGTGGTTTTTTCCCTTTCTATCGTAACACTCTGTTTATTAGATATATAGGTTTTTCTGCGTTCTGGTGCCTTTGGGAACTTAAGATTTTGGAGGTCTCTATATATTTGACAGCCCTTATAATTTGCCGGGTGGTTACCATCACAGAGAACACATTTTACACAGTCTGATTTTGTTTTCCTTATGCAATCGGCAGAGAGATGGTCGCCAGCACATTTGATGCATTTAGGTCTACGGTGGCAGTACGTTTTGGTGTGGCCATATTGTTGGCATTTTGCACACTGAGGTATTTCACGTTTTGGGCGAGGAGGTTCGAAGGTTACGATGCAGTTCATTAGATTTCTAACCTCGTAAATGCATTTATTATTGCGCCTTGTTTCTAGCTCTATTATGAACAGTGGCAATGGTTTTTTTGTTATTATTTGCTTAACATTCCATATGTTGGTACATGTATGTCCTATTTCATTTAACGCCTCTTTTATTTCTTCAGGGTCTGTTGAAGGGTGCATGTTTTTGAGAACCACTTTAAAGCTTCGTTCGTGTTTTGGCTTATATGTAAAGAACTCTGTATTTCTCAGTTCTAGTTGGTGTACAATGTTCCTGTATGTTTCTGAATCTTTGGACTGTATTTTAACCTGGTCATTGCTCAGAACTTTAAGATTATATTTATCATGCGCAAGTTCATTAAGAGTGTTGAGAAGCGGTTGAATATTTCCTACTTTGTCAACAAATATTGGAGGAGGTTTATCTACCTTTACCATTTTATCCGTTTGTTCTGTTTCTTGTTTATCAGTTTCCAAACTAGCAAATTGGTTTGAAATTGGTATTGGTTGGCTTTGGGACAGCCAGTATGTATCTAGTTTGGTTTGTTTTTGGTTTGATTTGCTTTCTGGGCTTGAATTGGGTCTCTTTTTTCCGGTGACTTGTGTCCAGTTTCGATTATCGCTGCTTTTATAAGGTTCTAGAGTTATGCCATCGGCGGCAGAATTTGTGTTTGGATAGTCACCAAGTGACAGAGCTCTAGGTCTAGTTTCAAACATTCTCTTATGGAAGATCTGTTGTGTTAAAGTTTTTTTACTTGTTGTGTTGGTTTTTTGGTTGTTTGTTAAATTATATTCTTCGTTCATTCTTATTCCCACGAGTAAGGACGATATAACGGTCGCTACCTGATTATTATTACCTTGCATCATTATTACCTTGCATCATAGTTTATTATTATTTATCTTAGAAAAGCGAGAGGTCACAAGCAAACTAAAAATTCTCCCTCTCAAGCTAGTCAAATTAATGGTTGTTTTTGTTATTTCAGTGGCCATACTGTGATGGTGCCCACGGTGCCCACAACAAGGCAACGGGTGACAACACTGGCCCCGTTGTGGTCAAACACAAGGAAAACAAGTGAGCAATAAGAACAAACGTAAAGTAACAAGGTGATAACGAAATGTGATTATATTTATTACAGAAATTGTTACCATATTCAAAATATGTATTAAATGATATAAATTACAGTAATAATGAAATAATTTGCTCATAATAAACACGTAATCAATTAATTTTAAGTTTACTTTTGTTACTTTTTTATGTTTAGATGTTTTTTTGCTGTTTGTTATAGCCTTTGCTATTAACAACACTTGTAATTAGTGTATTAGAAAAATGAAATCAATAAATTTTTTGGACTGTTATAAGAAATTATTTTTGTTTTATTTTTTAAAGGTAGCTAATTATTTTATTTGGTCCAACTTATGTTCTACAAGTTTTGTAAGAAAAAACACCTGTGCTCAGTTATAAAATTAAATTTAATTACCAAATTTCCTTAATTAAAACATCACAGACATGTTCTGACTTTAAATTATAAATAAATATTTAAACATGCCAATAGTTCTCATACTATATTGACTACAACCAACATGGTTTGTTCTACAAATTGATATGGCACACTATTATTTGATTTATTTTGCAATCGGCGCAAGTAATATAAAAAAATACATAATCAATAGATTTTATAAAAAAATATCTTAAAAATTTTGCCATAAAATGCAAACATTGTACTTAAAAAATTGTTGCGTTTGATTATATTTAATATCTTAAAAATAATTAGAGTTAGGTGCAACAGAAAATGTTCTGAAGAATAGCTGAAATTTCGATATATTGAAAAGTATTTACCTTGACTAGAATCAGTGAAGCCTGATTACAAGATTATAAAATCAATAAAGATAGTGCAACGCAGTTTAGGTGTATTTTTTGACAAGAACCAATTTATCTTACGAAAGGCAAGCTTATCGTTATCATCATCAAGTTACCAGTATGGTTGCAGAATGAACGATGATTAATGATTGCATAAAATTCATGTATGGATGCAAAAAGCTTGTCTACATTATAGACCTACTTAGTTTCTAAATGATGTTTATTCTATGAAATTTAGTGTTATTCAGTCTTGAAGCTTCTCAGAAAGTGGTGCCACCGAAACTGATCATCTGGAGAATTGAGTAACGTGTTCGAGGCTCTTCTCATTATGATGTTCACAGCTGAAACAAAAGGTAAACGTTAATGTTTGTCATTAGCAATCTAAGTTTTAATAGAGAGCCAAGCAAAACTTAAGAATGATGTGTTCGGTTCGATTAAGAAGGTTTAGACTTTGCTTTACCTATATATTTTTGTATTCCTCTGCACTATATTGACTCGTCTTCTATTCGTATTTACGTAAGTAATTAGGCTTCTGTTATTTTATGGTAATAAGGATTGCTAATAATTACATGGGCTATAGGACTAAAGTAAAAATATTAATAGACAAATGACTGACGGAAATAATCGTAAATAACAAACATGATGTTGTGTTATGATTATGAAGAGACCTTAGTGAGCATGTAAAGGATTCTTTGTTAATTTCTGTAAAGAATATTGAAGACGTTTTTCTCAGTTATAACGTTAAACAATTACAAAAATAATTATTTTACTTCATTGTTAAACAGTTTAAACAATGAAAAGTAAATTGACCATAAAATTTGGCGTACCTCAAGGTAGCATTCTGGGTCCGTCCTTACTTTTTGATGTGGGTAATATGTATGTAGCTACATAATAACGTAATAATAACATACGTACTAAGTTAACCTATTTACGAGTCCCTACCGCTTGTGTCGCATGTCCGCGACAGAGAACATGCATGATTTTTTCCTTCTATTAACACGATTGCATCTCCCTGTTTACTGTAGATTTTTTTATCGATTTGTAGCTGCGCGCTAGGGGCACGACAATTAGCAGATATTTAAATAAGCGCTTAAAAGGTTAATTATGAATAAGATTTGACTTTTCCGTGAGCGTTGATTTGTTGTCTACAGGATCAGTGTAAATTACTCAATTACTATAAAACAGAATGCACCTGTTACCTGTAGGTACCTGTATGTGCACCGTACCTACTATTTCTCACTATGATCGAGTTGCGCAGTGGGCTCTACAGGTATTTACACTATGAATTGTGAGTACAAGAACCTTGACCTTTATTTTTATTTTGGTATGAATTCTACAAAATGAAGACGAGTTGGAAATACCGGTCTCTTCTAGTTTTTTTAAGTAGGTATGCACTTACATCAACAGCTGTTTTGTTTACTATACCTACCTACATATACAAGTACCTCCGTAGATAAAAAGAGGTAGGCATTAAATTACATAGGTATCATCACGATTTCTATGCTCTCAAAGTGTCAGTAGAGTAATATATGTAATTGCAGTTATCAGTAGACAAAAGTTTATTCCCATGTAATTATAAAAGAGTAAAACATTTCCTCATATACCTACCGAGCTCAATTACAGACTTTGTGCGTTTATCAACATAGCTCGTGCCTGTGATCACTGGGTTAATGAGACTTAACATTATACATATAGGTTGTATGTACTTGTAGTGATGCCCTGGAGGTTTAAACGCCCGCTTCTCATGCATGAGAGTGCAGGTTCGGAACCTAGCAATGGCAAGTACCAAAGTGACTTTTTCCAAGTTATACCTATGTACTTTCTAAGATTAGATATCTAGACACCACTGAAAAACAGTGAAGAAAAACATCGTGAGGAAACTTGGGCTTACAATTCCTAATTACCTATGAGTTTGAAATCATCAACCTGCATTGAGCAAGCGTGGTGATTAAATGCTCAAACCGTGCGAGGCCTTTGATCAGCAGTGGACACTTATAGGCTGTTGATGATGATGACTGATTGACATTATAGACATGGATTAAGTTCTAAAATGTAAACTTACTTCTATCCTAGTCTCGGCAATAGTTTCTTCATTTCGTAGAAGTTCGTGTTTGAGGCCATTACGTTTTCTGTAAAAAGCAGTAAATTCGGTAATATTATGACATGTAATAAAACGAAAAATAAACTGGGCAATGAAGTCTTTGTTTGATATTTATGTCGTCAGAGGATTATATTCACTCTGCATAACGTGGCGTGGTTTTGGTCCCAGTTGACCGCTTCCTACGCACCGGCTCTCGAGGTTAATATCGGGTTACACCACACAATAGCCACTTTATGTTCACTTGGAACGTAAATAAATATATTATGCGCGTTATTTTTGATGCTAAATTCAATTTTATGGAAGGATTTGGTAGATGTAAGTGCTTACAGGTATATCCTCCTCCACACGATGAGGGCTGTGTAGGCGAGGCACACGATGCTGCAAGTGACCACGACCATGATGCCAGCTGCAGCTCCTATTGGTTCCCCTCTGACGCTACCGGATCGTATTTTCTGCGAATCCTTGCGAACAGCATCGCCAGCAGCTGGAAAATATACCATAAATAAGAGTCAATGCGGTCCTAATTTGAATCAGAAGTCAGAACAAATCTTCAAGCTATTTTCATCAAATTACCTTGTAAGAACTCTGCTTGGGAATCAGGCGTTAAAGGCACTTCTGCCCGAGCATCTTCTGCGTCTTCAGGGAAAGTTGGCAAGTCCACGTGGTGTTCATCGTCATCCCTCGAATGCAGCATGTCGAACACTTCCGATCTGCATATAAAAGTAGTCGATTAAGTATATGAATAGGTATACCTAATATTTATCTAACTACGTGTAATAATTTGTACCACCCAAAATGGTGTCAAAGCAAAGAAGGTAGTAGGTAGAGATATGTTAAGCAGATGATAATATTTTGATATAAGTATTGGTTAAGGAAAAATCCTGATGTTGATTGTGTGTAAAAAGATTTCCAGCTCAAAATAAGAAATTGGTATTAAATATTTTGTAAATCGTACCTGCTGACTCCATTTTTGTCATCCACTAGAAGTTTAAGAACAGTTGCGTTAGCCTCTAGTGTTTTGTAACGGCTGTTGTCCTCCACCTCCTTAGCCAGCTCGGGCAAAGTACTTTCTTGTTCCTTCAACGTCTCAGAGTTCTCGCCGTAGCACGTTCTAATATCTGGAATATGACAACAGTAATTGTACACAGATTTAACACGAAGATTAATACGTACCTAGTCTCGAGTTATACGAATCAATTATCACGGCTGATGTGAAAGTTATTTGAAAATGTCGGGAAACCGTTATTACCATGTTCAAAGTTGCCGTTTTTATAGGCAGTGTTAAGTAGTTAGCTAACAAAGAAGTGCAGTGGGCTCCAAACTTTATCTAAATGCAAACATTCTTGTTGCCAGCCGACCACACTTCAATTAGTGGGTCAGGCGCAGCTTTAACTTAATGTGTACTTAACGGTGTTCAAATCCGGTTTCTTGTGCTACCAACGTCTGAGCTCATATTTTTTAGCTTATTTCCGAATGATAAAGCGATTGATGCAGTGACTCATAGCCGTCTCATTGTTCTGAGTAACCTCGTGTCTCGGTATCTCCGAGTGAAAGTATTTATCGGAGCAAATAGACTAGATCTTGTTAGTAAGATTATTAGCCGCAGGCGTAGCTTGTGTTCATTTTACATTAAGCTTTGAAAGTAAGATTGTTGTGGCGTATATGTGCCGTATTGGTACGGTAGTGAAGTGAGAACACAATTATAACGGGTTGTTCTTGGATTTGATTGAAGGTGACAGGAAAGGAAGTAAATGATAATAATAATATGATTTGCAATTAACTGATGATGGGAATTTACCTATCAGTAGGTACATTTTCAAAGTAATCTTTAGCTTTACAATACTTGTTGTACTGTACAATAAGTAATTAATCATTTTTATGCATTAAAGTGTCATTAACTAATGTTACCGAGGTTGGGCTTTTCCAATATCCTGCAACTAATTTAAGGCAATTTGTGGTAAATGTACCTAATGATGTAACTGTATGAGCAATTTATATTTATTTTAAATCACTTACAACACCGATTGCTGAGTACAAAGCTCAGGATTCGATCACCTGATTTGGAATTATGCACCGTTTAAATATAACTAAGTATGTGCGATATATTAATATCAACTATATGTATATTTACGCCTTTGCCTATCTTTACTGTAGATAATTATTATTAGGAGGATGCGACGGCGCTTAGCCTATCGAGTGCGTCACTGTAGCTAATTGAGCGCTAAACAACTAAGTTATCTTGATCAGTAATGATCGTGTTTACTGTTGTTTCCGCCAGCAATAGATTACCCTGCGCGACCATAATTTAAACATTGATTCCATAGAGTTAAACAGAAACTTAAATGGTATTAATGCCGCCATTCTCACGGCCCTTGCCGGAAGAATAGTAAACGTTTCCGCGTATAATCACTGAGCACTCACGAAGACTTGACATGAAAACGAATAATTGATTTGAATGAATACACTCGACGTGGTTATTAATCTAATACGGTTTCTGTATCAAATTACATAACATAACATAACATCACGCCTTTTATCCCCGAAGGGGTAGGCAGAGGTGCATATTTTTTTTTTATGGATTTGGAGGCAAACGAGCAGACGGATCACCTGATGGTAAGCGATCAGCGCCGCCCATGGACACCCGCAACACCACTCGCACATAGAAGTAATACCCACTTTTCACTATTTATGTTACGAGTCCCATGTAATAGGGGGTGAGCCTATTGCCATATACCGGGTACATTTCCAGACTCCGTGCTATTACTGAGAATTTTTTAAAAACCCAGTACTTAATACTGTATCAAATTGTCAGCACTAATGTGGATACGAGATAAATATGTGGGAATGCTTCGGCACGAATGGGCTGGTTATACCGGAGTGACACCACAGAAAACCGGCGTAAAAGAATGCTTGCGTCATGTTTCCAATAATTCCTCACTCCCCCATCCCTTAATCCCAATGTTCCCAGATTCCCTATCCCTAAAAGGTCAGCAACGCATTAGTAGTAACTCCAAGTTACGCGTGTTCATGGACGGCGGTTCATGGCTTACCGTTGGTAAGCCGTCTACTCATTTGCCGACCTATGCTAGAAAAAAAGTAAACTTTAAAGTTGTGTACATAGAAACCAAAAGTAAATTAGCTTTACGTAATTAACAAGCACGTCTTCCTAGATCAAGTTTTTATGTAAATGTGGTTTCCATTTATTCACGTTTGTTTGACATTAACATAAAGTGCACATGGTATTCAAATATTTACCTATATTTTGTTATGAAAACAATAATATTGAAACGAAAGAACGAAACTACACTTGGGAGCAAAGGAACGGAGCCACTAAGCGTATTTTTTATTTATCGAACTGTCTATAACTTTAAAAAATATATATAGGTATCTTTATATGTTCTGTAGGTATATGTATATTCCTTCTATAAAAAAACATTCATTAAAAAATAACTAAGTTAATTGTTTTATTAACAAAATTAAACATTAATAAAATACTTGTGTTTTTTTATGGAATAGGAGGCAAACGAGCACACGGAACATCTGATGGTAAGCGATCAGCCCCGCCTATGGACACACGCAACACCGCATACCGCATAGGAGTCACAGGTGCGTTGCCGGCCTTTTAAAAAAGGAATACGCTCACAATCAGAAATCAGCAAATATTTATCAAAAAAATGAAAAAGAATAAACTCTAATAATGGCTCGGTTCTTTGCACCCAAGTGTAGTTCCGTACTGGAGTGGTCTCGTTAGCCCATGAACATAACAACGTTGCTTGTAGATAAAATAGAGTCTTCCTTTAGGTAAATTGGTTAAGTGTTTGTCTAGTTTAGTACGTATCTTGGAACATTCCACTGTCCACTGATATTCAACTAAAGCTAAACTAACAATAAGTACTTATATATTATGTTAATTTTCACGTGACCTTAATGCAGGTCTGTTTGACTTCAGTATTAACACTCACCTAGTTTTAGTCGCTATCTTCGGTTTGTTTAAGTTAGTTGCTGTTTTATTTCTTATCTTTATCTATATGTTACTTTTTGTGACTGATTATTTTGTAAAATTTCTTTGTTTTTATGGCAATGTCTCTATATATGTTGAGTGCGACTTTTGGCTAGTATTTAATGAGTCTTAGATATAGTCAGTTTTGAAAATATCAATGTGTTTGATTCTGATAATAAAAGAAAGAAGCTGAGATCTTTTAGAGCTTCACTTGAAAGTAAGTATGTAAACAGTCAGTTTAGTAAAAATAGGGTCAATTGTCAGGACAAAGCAAATGATCACCAACTAGAACCCCGGCAGTGGGACATTAGAGAGCCGGTAAATGTAATTTCATGTTGTGTAGTGTGGGTGTCGCTACATCAAAAGGTGCTTCACCTCACAACAGACCATCAATGTCTATGTCTGCAATAGGATTTGATTAAATTCTCACTAAGAAAGGCGTATATATCCACGCCACCATATTCCAAGTTACTGTTGGGGGTCAGTACGTTTACATTTAGGTAGGTACCATTTATGGTCGTAAAGGTCAGTTATAATCAAAGCAGAAACTTCCATTCGGCTATAAAATTGTTATGCATGTACATTGAACCGGTGACCTACGCCGAGAAAGGGAATTATCGACTAGACTCCCTTCTCCAACTTTGAGCTTGGTCACGTTTCTTCGGTCCTTGCGTGTGTAGGTAGACTCATAGCTTTGTACACTATTATCGACTTACTTTGGCTTCAACATGAATATGTAAAGTATCATTGCATTTAATAGATTTAGATCTGGGAGCATGTTCTCGTTTTACATCTGTTCTCCCTACATATTTTAGAGTAATTTGTAACTTTTGTTTGCCAGTTATTTGACCAGGCGATGGAATATCTGGGCCCTCATAAAAAACCTTTAGGTAGGTACTAATTACTTTTAACATTATTTCTTGTGTACCTAAGTGTTAAACTTTAATGAAGGTACTATACTAGTCTATGTTTGCCCTTCAGAGAGTGTACTCGTGATTGTTAGTGGGGCAAATATCGAAGCTGAGGAGAGGACACGATGAGGTAAACGGTGAAACACTCGCTCCATTCATTCACGGCCACCTGAGAAACCGTACTCAGTAGCTATGAATCATTATGTAAATTATTTTACGCTATTTACTACTACAGACGACACTTTAGTATCTGATCTCACATATAAGGTATATTTACATGATAATATAAGAATGGGTTTCCTTATGAGTCTTCAATACAATCATCGATATCATGAATCACACCCACGTAACAAAATAAATGTATTACTTTACGTATCTTCTTGGAATTTGGTCGCAACAAATTGTATGTAATTAAGGTTCCATTAGTTTCGTGGTAATGAGTATATTTCCAGAAGTTAAGTGATTCTCGAGATATTTGTTCTGTATTAGTAAAGTTACCGTTACAAAGATACAATACATACATTGTATGTACATAATATCGTATGTGTATCTACTGTCGTTGTTATGTTTACTGCCTCTATTACGAAAAGAGATATTAAAGTCATATACATTATGAGACAAGTGTATTAAGGTTGTTCTTGAAACCTTTATGCCATTGTCATAGAGTCCTTTATAGCATAGCAGGATATTACTACATACTTCAAGTTTATTGTGATTTTACAGCACTTTTTATTTAACAGTCGAATTAAATTTTTATGTCTATACTGTTATAGCACTTATTACATTGAGCTGAGCTTAAGATAATTAGGCATTATTAGTAGAAACACTAAAACCGCTCACGTGTTTTGTGAAAATCTTAAACGACATTGACATTGGTTTACTTTTACTAAAAAGGCTGTATCTCTGATGTAGGTAAATGTTTCGTATAATTCAATCGGAAGTTCTGTAGATATAGCGTTCGATTCATATAATTTGATCAAATCTCTTAATTTTTTGTACATTATCGTTGTAATCATTGTAATCTCTATGCAATTTCCTTCTTAGGTATTATGTACTTTCCTATTCCTGTACCTAAATGTTAATCGATTCTTTTATTAATAAGTGTGTAGAAAGATATCGAAGAACATTAAATAAGAACAATTAAAACTCATTTTATTTTTCTATATTATGTACTTAATCGTGATGTGTTTTGATGTAGAGACTGAGATGGCTTCCCTCGATTGAATTCAATTCGAAAGATCGAAATCAACTCGATCGCGATCCACACGAGAATAATCTCGACCATTGACGGGCGAGAATGCGATCGAACTCACTTCGGTCTTTGGAACTGAAAAGTACAGAATAACCCAGCAGACACTCTAGATAGTTCTACAGTTCAATTTCATATGTAACGTCTATTCTAATGTATTAAAGATAAGCATAATTCTATCATCTATCACGAAACGGGATGCTGACGTATGAGCATTGATATCAGAGATAACAGCAGGCCGGCTATTGGTTGTAAGCTTAGTCGCTGGTCTTTGGTTATCACTTGGCATATAAACTTGCTTAACGGCTTGTACCGAGTTACATAGAAAGTGTTTGTTATACATACAGTGAAATGTTGCTTCGTTTCCTTTGGCTAATATTGCGCGAACTTTCATGTGACATGTATGTAATAAAATCATAACATAAATCCGAAGTTGCCAACTAATTCTATAAATGCGAAAGTTATTTTGTATCTTTATAATAACTATCGTGAGATATACTAAATTAACTAAAATTCGCGGGTGAAAGGTAAAAGAACAAGAAAGAAAAAGAAAGGTAAAAGAACCCCTTTGTGTTTCTAACTAAACTAGTAGAGCTTTTCTCAGTATATTCACGTGAGTAACTCGCGAATTTTAGTTTGTATGTTTATTTATTCGTAAACACTTTAAGCTTTATAGATATCTATCTATCTAAGTATCTACTTTATCCGACGCAGCGAGAATCTACATTTACATAACTAAATAATTATGAATCTACACGTGTCAAATGCTGTAAAATGCAGAGGAAATCAGCACAATATGCAATGATCATAGTAGCTGGCCAGAACCTCGATTTCTGCCAACCCCCATCGTTCGAAGGTCCAATGAATACGTAACACGTAAGGATATCTTGATTATTGTTAAACTGACAGTATTACATATTCATGCCAATATCTCAGAAGACGAGGCTATTTGTGATGTTTTCTGTGCCAAGTTCCTGTTCAACAAACATTTTCTTGTTTCCATTCCCTTATATTAGTTAATATTCTAGTTAATTGCCAATGTACATACCCGTTGTAGCGACGATGATTAGACAGAGGAGCTGGTAGCGCGCCATTTCATTTGTCGCTCTGCAAACAGATAACTGATTGTATTTATTTATGTTGCTACTGCACGCGCTTATCTCCACCGGTCACACTTCATACATACCTAATTACGTAGGTAAATGATAAGCGAGTTATCAAATCATAACTATTTGTATTCCCTTAGCACACGAGATTTGTACTAGGGATTTTAACGTAGACGTCTATTTATAATTTAAATGTTTTGTTTAAAATTGGTTGTGGCATGGAAATGAACGTGTAAATAAAACCAACACGTTCCGCTAATAATAGATTGTTGTTTATTTCACATGTAGGTACGCACCTACTACACAAAGTAGGTACCCTTGACTTTACGCTACAAGCTTGATATTGTTCCCAATATTTTTATACTGATAAATCTAATAAAGGTAAGAAATTTCTTTAAATAAGTATTTAATATTCACGTTCGCGATCAACCAGTGTTAACAAGATATTGAAGTCACTTTCGCGATGTACAAAGCTAGAAAACCAGTTCTGGATGAGAGCTCGATTGCTCTAAAAATACCTGGGACTCGTCGCGAGGGATCCGGCCTTAGCTGGGAAGTACCACTTTGCACGATCAATTTAATTTAATGTTCACCACTTTTTGTCACTTATTCCAATGTTGCGTGCGCGGCGCCTGGCCGTGCGGACGTTCGTCTGGCCCCGAATCGACCGGTATTCTGCGCAAGAGTGCCGACTGCCGAGCGACTGCAGAGTGACTGCCGGCTTGCCGCTCGACGGGAGCCTGAGACGCTGACCTCACTGATGCAGGAAATACACTTAACTCTCAAATCGCATGGATAGGGCAAGGATGGATCATGAAATCATGTCATGATAGTTTTATTTTATGACTTTCGTTGTACTTAATGCGCTTATGTACATGTATCTAATATCTATGCATGTATTTCCATTAAATAGATAATAACTAATCTATCCATTACATTTAGTTAATGTCTCTATTAAAATTAAGTTTTTAGATGTCCAGGGTGAATAATTATAAGATTAGGTTCCAAGAAACTTCCAAGTTGGATTCTTCGAATACGGTTCTACACTTCTAACCCTGAACATTTAAATTGCTAATTTTTTGTCATATTTTGTCATACTTGGGTGACACCAAGCAGATGATAGTGTGGCGAAAATATATGTAGGTATTACTTACTTACTTACTTCTTATCATTTTTCAGTTATTATACTTACCCAAGAAAAGATCTGAAATAGGTACATACAAACCATCATAACGATTGACTCTACATCGTTCAAAGAAAACACTTCCAGCCTGAGTTCCACGTAATTGTGTACCTATACACTTATACCGGGACATATCGGGTAACATCATTTTTATAGATATAGGTACAACTCTATTTAACTATCGCAACTTGAAGAGGGAAGTTCTATAGGTATAGCACCCTTCTCCAAGTAAAGAAAACACGTGCTAGGACCGTACTTAGGTAGGCAGTACAGGTTTATATTATGTATTATCACATCATTGTACCTACAAGTACATAATATGACATGGTTAGAGTTAGCACCGGAGCCTGTTTTGTTCAGATTAAGATAAAAACTTCTTTGTTCGTCAAACGTGTGGCGCACTGCACTGGCGCGGCGGCGGGTGCGCGTGAGACATTCTCTGGGAATTTGCGCCCGGCTGCACATGCGCGCATTACTCGCTCCCGGTTGGCGAGGCGCGATGCGCGATGGCCGCTGACCCCAACTAACCGGCATGTCATCTAAGATCTTTAATTCTATTGACAAATTGAGCTCGTGTTGATCTATTCCAATCTATGTATCGAGGTTAAAGTTTGCATTCTTTACGCCAATTTTTCAGCATTTGTTTTCAACAGAACACTTTTAGAGAGTACAATATCTTATTCCTGAATCCTGATTTATTCTTTTTTTATACATCGCACAAAATTTTATTAAACTAAAAATAAAATTAAGTTTTTAATACATCGCAAAAAAATTAAAAATAAAATAAAATTTAATAAGATCAAGTCAAGACTAATATTAGAATATGTCAAAGCTGCTGTGATTGTGGATGAGCCAATTAAAGCAAGGGTTTAATTGAAAGTAAACTTACAACCCAACTTTATGTTTTAAGTGAGGAAGAACCATGCTTCGGGACGAATGGGCCAGCTCGACCAGAGTAAAACCACGGCCTTACAGAAGACCGACATAAAACAACGCTTTCGTTGCGTTGTGTTTCGCCGTGTAAGTGAAGTTACTGGAGGCCCAATTACCTGACTGGGAGGGGTCCCCATTCTCCGCAATCCCTGAATCCCCACAATACTCCAATTCCTTACCCCTAAAAGGCGTTATATATATAATGTCGTGGTGGCCCGGAGGTATAAGGGTGCAGGTTCGAAACCTACCAACGGCAAGTACCAATGTGACTTTTTCCGAGTACATATACTTTCTAAGATTATTTAGACACCACTGACCAAAGGTGAAGGAAAGCATCTTGAGAAAACCTGGACTTATAATTTGTAAGTATAAGTTTGTAATCGCCAACCCGCATTGAGCAAGCGGGGTGATTAATGCTCAAACCTTCTCCGTGTGAGAAGAGGCTTTGCTCAGCATTTATGGGCTGTTGATGATAATGATGAAAAGGCTGGCAACGCACTTGTAACGCCTCTGGTGTTTCGGGTTCCAAGGGCGGTGCCGATTGCTTACCCTTAGGTGATCAGTGTGCTCGTTTACCGGATTATTCCATAAAACGAATGAAGTATTCCACCTCGCTCTTTTGATTATACCTACAATAGTGTTCTTAGACCAGGACCTCAAGTCTACTACTATAATAGCAAGTATCAAACTAATCGATCATTGATTTTATTGTGGATGATTTTGACAGGTTTAGGGTGGGGCCTAATCTCCTAGATAAATAGATACAATGGCGTGACCTGATTATGACTTTCAACCTCTTTCAACTGACACTCTATCGACAGAAATTGTCTAATTTATAATTTAAATAAAATACAACCTATTAAAAGTGAGATTAATTTAAATAATTAAAATTCGATTATTTCGGCCTCTATGTACTCACACGATGAAGGAATCAGCATAATTCTTATAACCATGGTTGTTCAAAGAGGTCGTGATAATTTCAAACTTGTAACATAACATCACGCCTTTTATCACAGAGGTGATAGGCAGAGGTGCACATTATGCCACTGCACAATGTAACACCCACTTTTCACTATTTATGTTATGAGTCCCATGTAATAGGGGGTGAGCCTATTGCCATATACCGGGCACAATTCCAGACTCCGTGCTACTACTAAGATTTTTTTAATAACCCAGTAATACTTTGCCCGACCCGGGAATCGAAGCCTAGACCCCTTGCCTGACAGTCGTACTTGCGACCACTCGGCCAACGCGGCAGTTAAACTTGTACTTAATTAGAAATTATAAGTTTAAAATTTTCACTATGTTTTCCTGGTATGTACGACGTTGAAGAAGCATGTTTCGGTACGTGAATGTTTACCGACCCTTATCTGCCATATCTTTGTACTGCAGAAGTGCAAAGATATGGCAGATAGGTGCAAGTAGCAAGCTAAAGTGCCAGTGGGCAGGCCACATAGTTTAGAGAACCGATAGTCGATCTCGATGGGACACCAGCTTCTTAAATGAAAGCTATATACCGGCAAACGCAGCGCCATCGACAAGGTGGACAGAAAATAACTTAGTTAAGTTTCCAGGGAGCCGCTGGATGCAGGTCGCTACCACTCGGCCGACCTGGAAGTCATTGAGAGAGGCCTAAGGCCAGAGGCCTATGTTGAGCAATGGATATTTTGTGGTATGATATTAATGATGATGATGATGATATTGGTGTTAGTCATAGTTGAGGAGCCATTGGGTTTTAAATAATACTTAATTGGGTTCTTTGGCCTGACTTCTTTTTAGTAACTAAGAAAATACAATTATATATGTATGTATCCAGATACCACAACACATGACACACAATTGAATACTGGGAGAGAAACGTTTAAACTAATATGACACGATCGGCCTCAATTAATAGGTACTTTAATGTGTTATTATCATTGACCATACAGCAAAACGACACTTTCGCGGTGCAGGTGTCGCAAATCGTCGTGAACACTGTGGTTTGTTTACGGTGGTGTGTGTGTGTGTTTTGTATTGCGTCCGCACCGCGTGTGCATTTACTTGCAGGCTCCGAGGGCTGCGCGAGCTTGCTGCAAACCGCGTCCAAATTCACTGCTTCGCAGATGAATTACACCTACATAGATATTTTTCTAGTAGTGTTACTGAACGTGCATTGTTTTGTCAAACTCATGACAGCTAAAGAAGTTGACAATTTGACAATGTGTCGAAATGTATAGGAAATAGGCGCGTATTTTTGTTATTATTAAAATTATAAAAACAAAAAAAAATGTAATCAGCATTGAATAATTTAAATACAAAAACAGAAATGCCCAACAAAACAGCATTTTATGAAATCAATAGATAATACAAATGTTTTATTCTTGTTCAATTTAGGTTCTTCCATATCATTCAATAGCACGGGTGTCCAGAACAGTAACTGCTTATATAAATATAAACAAAATGGCATGTCCACATTATTGTACCTGTCGAAAATCACGACAGAACAAAGCTATATTTTTAGAAGATAAGGAAAGAGATCTAAGGCAAATGCATGCATTCTTAGATCAAAAACTTATGCACTGCAGTAATAATACACCAGATTTAAATGCTGTGAACAAATTAAACTGTGCCCTAAAAAAACTCGAGGGTGTAGTTAATCAGACGGAACAGCTAAATGAAGATATACGGGTGAGCAAAACTTTTAAGTCGTGTGCCGATTGTGAATACAAGAGGCAGGAATTGTTTGGAGAAATCCAAAAGATTTTACAACGACTTCAAACTTGCCCAGGCCCATGTTTATGCGGAGAAAAGGTTTTAGGATATTGGGATGAACCTAAAACTAGGAAGAGACGTTGTAAAGAATGTTTCATGAATTTTAGTCGAAATATATTCAGAAAACTCAAAAACATGATAAGGCGAAAAAAATGTATCTACATAGAATATGAACCTAGTAGTAAAAAGCAGAAATTTCGCTTTAAGAAGTATTTCTCAAAATATGATGTAAATGATAAACCCAAGAAAAAAATTAAAGAAAAAAAGCATCGCTGGAAAAAATCTAAATCAGGTGATGATGTGAAAGAAAAATTCTTTAAGGAACCCAAAGTTGTAAAACAGCGTTTTAAAAAATATTCATCAAAAAATGACATAAATGAAAATACCACCCCAAAAACCAAAGGTAAAAAAAAGTGTTTCCTGAAGAAATTATTATCGAAAGAAAAAACAGAAAAGAAGATCAAAGATAGAAAGCGTTCCCCGAAAGAAACAAAAGTAAAACCACCAAAGAAGATCAAAGATAAGAAGCATTCCCCGAAATCAGAAGCGGAAGAAGTACCACCAAAGGTGGTAAGTCCCACCAAAAAACGGAAAAGTATACGTAAATCATTGACAAAGGAAGTAAAGAATACGAAGCGTCGGCTTAAGGAATTTAGTGAAAGTATTGACAGACAGAGTGGCTGTTACACTTACGGTCCTACTGGATTTTGTCGAGATGTAATAATGGGAGCACCTCCATTATGGATTCCTATGACAAAATGTAACAAGGTACCTAATCGGATGAAATGTAAACAACTATTGACATGTTTGGGTATGCTAGCAGCCTTACTGTTTTGGTCCCCGTGCCTATTATGTATAGCATGCTGCATTCTCTGCTGTTGTTGTCATTCAAATTGTAGATAATTAATTCAATAAAATAATGTGACAATTAATTTATTACATTATATCGATCTTTGTTGCATTCCTACCTTATTTTATAACAAGTTGTCTTTCTTCTTTCTTTCTTTCTTCTTCTTTCTTAGTCTTCTAGTCGAGTGATATAAGTATCTATATTAGTGACTATAAGTATCTAAATTATTTTAGGTAGTCATTAATTAGCCTACAAATTATAGACATTTCCAACAAAGTAGTAAGTACAGTACCCTGAAAGAGTTACCAAACTGATTTCATGAAAATTGTTATTAAGGTAATTGTACCTAATTAGATGATATTTCTTGGGGAGGTTTTTGTCCAGAAGTGGACGTTTTCCGGTAGATGAAGTGATGACAATGACTAAGGGTATAATAAGTATAGGGGAAGACGATGATTCCTACTGTATGTGACATTTAACAATATCTCGCTGACTTATTACGACACATGTCAAAATCTTGCGGAGCAGAGAGGTTCGTTTTTTAGCTTTAAGCCAGTGCTTTAAGCTCAATTGCCTCCAAAGAGTATAATAAGTATAGGGGATAAGAGTTGCCACTCGTCAAAATTTATGCCAATCATTTTGAAACAATTGAAGCAAATTGCCATTGCCTCAATGGGATCAAAACTTATTTAATTAATTTTCTAGAGCCGTGTAGGTGACATCCCGGCTTACATGCAGGTGACAAAAAGTAAAAACGTAACCTTTGTGGTGGATTAGTCCGACATGCGGTGGGCCAGTTTCATACATACATACACTCCAACGTTACCATTAAAGCTCTAGATCAGTCTTCTTTCTGAAGGTTTGACGTAAGAGTGCCTCAGGCCAGTAACTTTGCTCAGAAAGATATGAATAGATATTCTGCTTCATGCTGGATATCCCACCCACTCGCACGAAGCGCTTCGCTTCAAGCTTGCCAGAATCTGCGTTTTCTGAAGGAGGGTGAGTGAGTGGACCTGGGTGTTTTCAAGGTTCGACTGAATAGGTTAATATGGATATACGTGGTCCATCTCAGACCGCATCATAACTTACTTACCAGGCGAGATAGTGGCCAAACGTCGACCCATCCAAGATATTACCAGCCAGCTATGAAAGATATCTGTTTAAACCTTCTTAAATCAAACTTTTTTATTGGTAATAAGCGAAAAAAGAAATGGAAAACTTTAATCCTCTTTTACTGTCAGTTTTGATAGCTTGTTTTTAAGTTTTTAAGATTTATTTACAATTTTATTAATCATTTACTAATATTAAGACATTTTGAAATATGTCCGATGGTTAATCTACTGTCCTCGTAAATAAAAAAATCCATCGAATGTTGTTTTACCATCGAATGGATAAACAACTATTTGTCATGTGAGAGTATGGATTTGCATAGATTACGAGTTGTGGAATTTAATACGTTGGTAAGTGAAAAAGAAGGCAAGAAGAAGTACGTCGCAGAACTTGAAGAGCATAAGAAAAAATATAAAAGTAATTTCGATGATAAGGAGTATGAAACAATTGAATCTGAAAATGATAGTAAATGTCTGGATGACAAAATCTGGCCACAGAAAGCACCACAGAAATTTGTAGGTGACGGGGTAAACATAAAATATCTGGTTGATAAAATAGGACCGCCTGGGACATCAAAACAATGTCTAGCTAAAGACCACGCTTCCAGGACACCAACGTCTAGAATTTCAAGTTTTATCAAACATAAATCGAAAAGTGAAATCTTCAGTATTCCTTCCAAATGTAAGTCAACTTCCTGGGAAAATAACATAAGTATTCATCAACATAGTTTTTGCTCCCCGATGGGGTTTGGCAGGATTGCGCATTATTTTGTTAGACATGTATAGTGTATACAGACTGTCCGAGAAGTCAACGTCAAACCGACCCAGGTAATCAGCAAAAAAAAATCATTTTAAGGGCGTTTTCACAATGTCTGGATAGCCACTAAGCTACTGCCAATATAAATTTGAATAATGTATAGAACGTAACTTTTATGGACTAGGCATCTGCCACGTAGGTTTATTGGATACTAAACTTAAATATGAAGATGGTGAAACAGGCCCTTAGTCACCAAATTACAGTGGTTTATTTGTTATCCTCGAAAAAGTACGTCCCCATGGCAGTCTTCTAACTGTTTTTGCTACATGTCATTACACGGAACCTTAAAATTCTAAGCCAACTCCTTTAATTTGGACGATATTGTTAGTTTTTGACCAAACAACGACCAGTTTCTGAAAGGTTTGTCAAAATAATCAACTATTACATGTAAGTGCACTACCACGCCGACACAGTGGACAGTTACTAACTAAAAAGTGACTCATTCCTACTCCTACTTTGAGCCGGAGTAAATGAGGCTCCGTATCGGGTATTAGTTCTACTGGTCTTCATTTGTTGTGGTCTGATATCTCTTTGAGGCGCACGCAGAGAGAGTCTGCAGTGCAGTATGAGGTCGCGTGTTGTCGTGCAGGAGCAGCGGATACGAGCGTTTGTCCAATGCTGGTTGGAGATGTGCCAGCCTTTCCATCATTGTGTTCAGTTCTTCACAGTACACCTCTGCACTTCTGCAGCAATGCTTTGCGGTTGGTAAGAAGCTGTGATAAATCACACCGGCGCTAGACCACCAAACACTAACCATCACTTTTCTAGGGGTAAGTTTTCGTTTAAGGCATTGTTCAGGTATTGAACCAGGATCCAACCAACTGGCTGAGCGGTTGTGGTTATCAAACAGAATCAATTTTTCATCGCGGATAACAATGCGGTTCAAAATTCCTTCACTCGTGTGTCTATAGACCAATGCACGGCACGTATCGACGTGTACTTCACGCTGGCGATCATTGAGTTCGAGGGGCACCCAATTTGACGCTTGATCAATATTGTTTTGACGTTAACGTCGAAAGCTGCTTTTAATTTAGCCGTAGATTTTGTATCATCAGATTCCACAATCGCCTTTAATTAGTCACTGTCGACCAAAACCTTCGGATGACAGCGAGGTGCATTTTTAGGTCCCAAAGACCTAAAATATTATAAAGAGCAGTTAGTTATCTCATACAGCTGTCAACCGTTTTACACGTGGTTGAGTAACAAACATGCTCACAAACACACTAACATACATAATTTCGCATTTATAATATTAAGTAAGATTATAAGATTACCTTCATCTATACCAAAGTTTGTAGCTAGTTGTTTTTTATGAGGTTGTCTGAAATCGGTTAGGACATCGTCAGAAACTTCTTAGGGCCGTCTCTTATTAGTACATGTCTTCTTTTAAGGGGGGATTTATTATTTAAACCACCCCGTTCTAACTCCTGCACATCGAGCCGGAACCCCGACAACCCGTTAAGTCCTTCGCGGCTCCGTATCGGCATCAGCCTTATTGGTCCCCGTCCGTGGTGGTCTGATGGCTCTTTGAGGCGCGCCGGACGCTCGGGTTTGGTTCTGGTCGGGCGGAGAGCTACCCATGTTCGCCGTACATATCGCCGTACGATATAACGTGGACCTTCACCGAGTTGTTAAATGAATAAAACTTACTCGATAAGTAATTTAGCTTATTAAAAATGATAAATAATGGGTTGTCTGATAAAATCTTTCCTAGGCATAAAAATAATGGAATACAAATCTAAAAACGTTTTTTTCACAATGCTCCTTCACTTTTTAAAATACGCGTGTTATTAATAAATTTCACTTTTGTTTAATAGGATAAACAAATATTTGAAATAATTTAATCTTTTAATATTCGTTTAAAAAAGCGAATAAAACCCCCTTCTTATTTGGTAGGTTAATTAAAACCTTCTCCTAAGTGTAACAAAACAAAAACTTGTCTGAAAACCGCATCAAAATCGTTTAGCCAAACATAAATACATACATATATACATACAGGTCAAACGGAGAACCTCCTTTTTTAAAGTCGGTTAAACAGCTACGAGCGAACCCAAACATTATGCTAGGGAAATATTAGGTAATCTCTCCTTTGCATATCCTATGGGCAGTGTACCTACTTACCATTAGTGTGTGTTTAAGTTAATGGTGAAATAAAAAAAAAATAATTAAACATAGCCTAGCCAAAATTTTATCAGGCAAGTCATGTTTTTTATGATTGCTACATTAAACTAAACTTCCATTACATGTTTTTTATCCATTAAACAGCTCGGTGAAGGTCGATCTTATATATCGTAGGTACCTTCTATTAGAATTTTCTTGGTCGTCGTCTGTCAAAAAACTAAGGTTTGAGTTATGAGCGCTGACGGTCAGCCGTGAAACTAATCGGACTTATTTGTATAATATCATACCATCCGATATCAAGCTACATTAGGTACTACATTTCATAAAACGTACACCCTATTGATATTAGACGGAAACAATCATTACAAAAAAAAACTAAAAATGATTAAAGTGCCCAAACTTTTAATCTTTTTCAGGTAAACCGAAAAAACGTGAACTTAAAAAGAATTCTAGTTTTATAGACGTACCCAAACTAAGCCAGGACAAGGCGCATTCGCATAATAAGAAACGAACACTTAATTTGTTCCACAGAAAGTCTAAGGAAGATCCGAAAAAAGAAGATAAACATGTGAAGAAAATAAAGAATGAACAAGTAAATTTTTTGTTTGCGCGCGAAACACCAAGTTTTGTCCGACATTGTAGAAAACAGACCGAGGAAGAAAGAAAGAGTTCTAGAAAGAAACAGGATACAAAATTACCGAACGATGTGTTCGGTTTTCAAAAAAGTAATCGACATACTGATCCGTATCTCTATCATATGTCTTGCAATTACTTAAATTTAGACAAATTGCCGTTTAAAAAAATTACAAAAGGATTTAATCGAAAATGTAAACAAACAACACAGGAAACACCATGTTATTGTAAACATCACGCAATGCGGGTCCTAAATTCCACTGGAAAGAGTGAGATCCCCGCTATTTATTATAATCTAAATACTCATACACGTCCACAGCTCAGAAGACTTCATCATAGACACGATTCCTTTGATAACCATGATGATATTATGACCAAAGACCGATCACGTCGTATGGGCAAAGATAAAATTGTATGTGTTTCACCTTCATCGCTCAGCCCTCTAACTAGATGTCAATGTGATGCGTGTATTGGTTCTAGTACAGGCAATGTCCCCGAAGTTTCAGAGCACCCAAATGGCAATCCGGAACAGTGTACTCCGAGCTCAAGTGTCTCTAGCACGCCCCTCGCACAGAACATACTGCATACCACTTGTAAAAAGAAGTGTATCAAGACGAATAAGAAAGCTTGCACCAGCAATAAACGTTACAGATTATTTTTAGGATGTTTTCAACGCTTCAAAGTCACTTTGAAAAAGTTACCGTCAGGGAAAAATTGTTTGAAATATTTGTTTTTCGGACTGCTTATTGTGGTATGGTCTCCATGTCTGCTGGCAGTCATACTGGCATGGGTAATAATGTGTCCTGTGAAAGTAACAAGTTTAAAAGGTGATGCTTCCAAGAGATCAATTCCAATGATGAATTATTTTGTGAACAGATTTCGTAAAAAAGAGGTAGAATGTGAATTCCAACGAGCATGTGTAGATGATTGTTTGCCTCAAAGTAAAAGGAGCTTTATGAGATCAGTGGCAAGTTGGTACTCAAGTGCGTTTGGAACTGTTATTAGTTCCTTTAATGCATTGGTGTCTATGATTAAGCTTAAAAACAAACCAACGTGCGCTGGGTCCTCGTTTCTAGAATTCAGACATCCGAACCCGAAAAAGACTTTGTTCTATCCAGACAATAGAGGAGGGATAATGAAACCTACAAGAAGAAGCAATACGCGATTTGGAGCTAGCACTCGAGTAGTGCAAAATATGAGATGTGAATTTATACCGTCATTTTGGCCCAAATCTAACACTTGCAACGAAAAGTGCCGATCGAAGATGAAGTCAATGTATAAACCGTGTCTTGTCCCATGTTCAGTACATGGGACTCAGTACAATCCCAGTTATTCAAGGTGTCAATCGTCACCGGCAGGGGATGCAGGCCCGACGATCAGAAAATCTGTACCCGGATGTACTTGCGATAAATTATATTCACGAAACAGAATCTGTCGAAATAAAATGATGCAAAGCTCTTCAGTGTTCATGCCAATGGTACCACAACGTCTTCACACGCACCAGGTAAATATTTCACCGATATTTTTTCCTCCAAATTCCGGTGTCGAATACAATTCTGTATATGAAACAGGAATTCAAAATAATTCGGTTAATCGTAATTTTAATGTTAATAATTCACACAAAGATTCTGCTAAAGATCCTTTGAGTAATCGGAAATTTGGCACACAGCCTCTTGGAGTTGTGTTCAATTGTGCATGTGGAACAAAACATCCTATAATTACAAATATGGAAACATTTAGATCTCAAAAATTTGGTTTAGCAGGTAAAACATTAAATACTTCAACAAAATACACACCCAGTGTTATGTTAAAAGGCTTGAAGGGACAGTTTGCTAAATGCTGGACTAAGCATGAATTAATTAGTGCCGGTATGACATCTCTTGGTCCTCATAAGATTGCCGGTTCCACAGACATAAACAAATTTAAATCTTCAAAACATACACCAAATTCTCAAACCAACGATGCACAAGATCGGAACACACAGTGTGAATTCGATTTAAATCGTTCTCGTCGGAGAAATCATAAGCAGATAATTATCGATAATCATTTACACACACACCGAGACGCACAGCGCACTCACAATAAATGTCTTCTGGCGAAAATATCGTCAACTGCATCGACTAAGAATGCTTATACAAGTACATACAAAATTAATTTCGCTCATAAAACACAGAATACATTGCAAAAGGTTAATTCTAATGATTCATCAGACAAACTAGATAGCGAGAAGTCTAAAATTGATTGGCCTTGTCCTTGTGCTACTAAAAAAGGAATGGCAAGTGAAGATAGCAGCTCGACTTCACTAGACACACAAATCAAATCACCAATAAGGTGTCATTGCGAAGGTAAAAAATCAGAAGAAAAGAAAATAAAACCTCATCCAACCGTTAAAACAAATAAAACACGACCAGATAACATTTCTGCTGCTCCCGAGACTGGTCAAAAGAAACAACAGGATATATCCGTGAATTGCGCTTGCAGTCCCAAGCCAAGCAAAGTTGATAAAAATACATCATCCATTAATATTCCTGACACTGCTAATAAATCCACAACGTTTACTCAGGAACCAACAAAAACAGACAAAAACATACAAAAACCCTTGGGTAAGACAGAAAAGGTGTCTCAAAAAACTCCCCAGAAAACTTATGATAAAGAAACTAGTGATAAAAAACCTGTTTCACCTCAAGACTCTGTTGAATGTGTATGTGATGCTGAATTGAATAAATTGAAGAAATCCAAGGTAAAAGAATGTATTAAAACAAAAACGAAGGAAAATTGTTGTTCAAAGTGTTGTGGTAAACGCATGTCACCGAAAACAACGATCAATTTACCATGCTCACTCGGTTATAAAATAGGAGCACCAAGACAACAACAATGTTCTTGTCACAATACTAGCACTAGTTACACCTCATTTGACAAAGGCATAAAATGTAATTGGCCTGAGAAAACTAAGAAAATTAATTGTGTAGAAGTTCAAACCCCGAAGGTAAACTATAAGGTAAATTCTCATTTATTTTTGGAAACTTGTTCTTTGGACGTTGCAACAGAAGTAATTGGATCAACAATTCCATTGACTGCCTCCAGAGAGCAGTCCATGAAACACAGAATGGCTGGAACTTTTCCTTACACTCGCGATAAACCGCAAAAGGAACTCAGTTTAGGAAACAAATTTTATAAAGCAATACAAACTCAGAGTCCGGTAGTAGCACAATATCCGTCTCCCCGACAAGTAACAGCGATTCAAAAAAATTTAGATATTGATCAATATATACAAACGGTAAATAATAGATTAGTAGAATCTCATCAAACGTCGTTGTCTCAAAAGATACCAACTGAGATATTTTGGGGCAAACACGAAAATTTCAACAATTTTAGCGCGACATCATTTTATACTACTGTAGCAAATAAAGCAGAAGATACAAGCAAGCGAGAAAAATTACTTAAAAATCCTGAAGTAAAGAAAATACCTTGTGAGTGTTCGCCAGCCGAGCCACCAGTTCGCAGAAAAATACAAACCCCATTAAATGACAAACTAGGTCAAACTACAGTGACTAAAGGAGTATCATCAGCGGCAAAATCGATAGAAATACAATGTCAATGTGAAGGTGGCTCACCTTCAGTATATAATTGCCCAAGTGAACAGCTATTCGCTACTATGAGTCATAAACATAGTTTATCTAAAAACGGTTCAGCTGTTAAGTCCTCAAGTAAACAAATTCTTCTAGGAATAAAATATCCTTTACACAAAGCAAGAAATTCACAGACAGTCGACGACCAGCCCATCAGTATCGGATCAAACTGTAATTGTGAGTTAACGTCTAGAGAATCGATAGTATCTCATGAGTCAAGTCCAGTAAAAGACCAAACTGTTGACAAGAAACAACTTTCGTCCCTCATTCAATTCCCTATGACCAGTGCAATGAATGAGGAAACAGAAATAACACAAACAGATTTGTCAAAAATATTCGTAGTGTCTTCTGACTGTAGCGAAATCAAATCAAACGTATTTAGCAAAACGAAACATTTTAAATCACGCGGTCACGTTCGTACCAAACGATCTCAAAGTAATGTGATGTCTGCTCAGCACTCTGGTTCTATAACGTACCCTCGTGCAGCTGATATTGACGAACATGCGCAGCAAACTCTTGAATTTGATTTGACATCTGACTGTGTTTGCATGAAAAGCGGACCAATTGCCAAAACAGAAAAGAAAAGTTTTTTGAGTGTATTATCTTCTAAACCAACGATTAGTGCTTATCGAACACAGTCTACCATTACACAAAAAGGTCCACGAGAATTTTTGATATCTTGTGATGGTTCTACAACACGAGTTAAGTTTTCTCAGATACCGTCTAAGGTAGAAACCACAGGTAAATGCAGATTAACAGACAAGTTTAAAAGGAAATCATCTAAAACCAATCAAGTTCCATCTAAAACTCAAAAGCCTAAAGTAAAGCAGTCATCGAAAACGCAGACTTCTTCAACTGCGAAACCTCCGAAGAAAAAATCAAGTTCAGATACCAAGACAAGTAAAAAATCGTCTAGTTCAAAAAGTTCAACTTCTTCTAAGAGTGGAGCTAAATCTCAGGACAAAAGTGAATGCAAGTGTGTGAGTAAGGAGATACTGGAAAAGCTATCACAGGGATCTTTGGTTCACACAGGGTGTACATGCTTATCAAGTACGAAGAAATCTATATTTGGGGATAAGTCACGCTTTAGGTTGTGTGGTAAAAAATCTAAAGCAGCATCGCCAAAGCAGAAGATTGTTGATAAAAAACAAAAATCACCTCCACCGTCACCAAAACAAAAGAGTGTTGATAAAAAATCCGTCGCCAAGCAGAAGGTTGATAAAAAACCAACTAAACCCTCACCAACACCATCGAAATCAAAACAAACTGCTGAGAAGAAACGCCCGACGCCCTCACCATCACCATCGAAATCTAAACAAAAATCTAGTGACAAGAAATCCAAAACAAAGCCACCATCGCCATCACCTAAGCCATCTAAACAAAAGTCTGTTGATAAAAAACCCGTCTCTAAACGACCATCACCCTCTCCAACACCATCAAAATCAAAACAGAAGTCTGCTGAGAAAAAACGCCCAACGCCCCCACCATCGCCGACAAAATCAAAACAAAAATCTAGTGACAAGAAATCCGCAGCAAAACCTGTTGATAAAAAATCTGCAAAAAAAACATCTCCACCACCATCACCATCAAAAAAAAAAGAAAAAGAAAAACCTGTCGACAAAAAATCTGGAAAAAAGTCAACTCCACCACCATCACCAACAAAAAAGAAAGAAAAAGAAAAACCTGTCGACAAAAAATCTGGAAAAAAATCAACTCCACCACCATCACCATCAAAACATAAACATAAGTCTGTCGATAAAAAGCCGAAACCACCTCCATCACCACGAAAATCAAAAGAAAGGTATGTCGATACAGATTACGACTGGACCAAACCTTGTCTTCCATCGCCACCGAAACGAAAAAAACTTAAACCAACAAAAGAGTGTAGCAAAGAAGCATGTCTATTAGGATCACCGCCTCCACCAAAACAAAAGCCTGTTAAAAGACCGAAACGTGGATCGCCCCCACCATCGCCACCACCATCACCACCAGAATCAAAAAGTTCAAGCGATCCTTGTCAATCGTCATCCCCGATACCAACCAAAACCACTAAACCAACAACCAAACCAACAACCAAACCAACAACCAAACCAACAACCAAACCACAAACAACAATCAAACAACAAACTAGCAAAGAACAAATAAAAGAGTGTACACCAAAACCTGTGGTTAAAAAGAAATCGCAACCATTTTTCGTACCCTTGCCTGCGGCAGATTTCAGTTTAAGTACTCAACTTGTTATACCATCAGCAACTAAACTAGAATCTGACTCTTCTAGTGTTAGTAGCAAATCTGTAAAAAGTCCTCCTTGCTCTTCTTCAAGCTCTAAAACGTCAATTTGTCCATCTTCCTCAAAGGGACTATCAAAATATAATAGAATAGTTTCGAAGTTCCGTTCTAAGTTGTTAAGTAATACGTTAAGTAAATTAATATCAAAAAGCAAATGTACTACAAAACGTTCAAGTGACTATTGTGACCCGCTCCAGTCAAATATTAGAAATAATCTTTGCTCGGTGATAATATCTGCTTCACAATTTAAATTAGCTTCAAAGCAGAAACCACGAGATAATAGAAATAATTTCTTACAACAATTAATTTCATCTCGATTAGACAGTCAAGCTGAAACGTTTTCATCACATTTAAGTCATACGCAATGTAGTTGCCCAGTCGATGATCCCTGGGTGACAATGACACTTGATGAAAATTCACTAAAGACACATAAATCAAATGTTAGTTCGTCTGGACGTAGCAAGATACCTAAAACAACAAAAAAACCCGCTTTATTAATATACTCTGGTCATAGCATGACACACAGCAGTTGTTTCTGCCAGGTCAACAGAACTTCTTCAAGGAAAACTACACAAAAGTCTCGTTG